TTCCATCCCCCTCCCTGCCAGCTTTTTCATTTCCAGACTATCCACTTAGGTGACTAGGAGGGTGAAAGGTTTAGGAATCCTATTACACAAAGCTACAAGACGGCTCTCCCCCCTACCCCTGCCCTTTTGTTTGGAAGGACCACTGAGGATTTAGCCTGGAGAGGATGATTGGGAATGGGGGTGGGGGTGTAGGGGGAAGAGATGATAACTGTCTCCAAGTGTATGAAAAGCTGTCATTTGGAAAAGAGCTTTTTTCTTATTCTGTTTGGCTTCAGGGAACATAACTAGAAACAGTGATTAGAAATAGGAGAAGTTACAGGAAGATAGGTTTTGACTCACTATTAGAATGATTGAAAAGTCAGGGTGACATAGAGGAGGAAGCTCACCTTATCCTAACCCTGACACATACTGGCTGTGGGACACAGTCACTTAAACTCGCAGTGTCCCAGTATAAATTGCAGAGGAGGGGCCGATCTATACTGGTAGAATAAGTTCTGTACTTTGAGCTCCCTAAAGTGATGAAAATCTCAAGGAAGAAGTAGAATATAGGTTCTTGTTAGAAAAAAACAAGTAGAACTGTTAAAAACAAACAAAACCAAAACCCAAACTGGCTTAAAAGGTAGTGAACTCACCATCATTGAAGGTATTCTGGTAAAGTCTAGAAGAGTATTTGTTAGAACTGTTGAAGAAGGGAGACTTGTAGCAGGTGAGTTGAGCTCTTTTAACTCTTCCAGGTCAAATCCTATTACAATAAAAATCTGAATGTTTTCCCCTAATCACAGAAGGTCAGAATTGAAAGGAACCTCACAGGTCCAACCTCCCAACCTATTCCTGAACAGGAATCTCTTTTGCAACATTCCCCCTCACCCTGCCCCCCATGCCTTCCAAGTGGCCAATCGGGTAACTCGATCTCTTTTAACCTTCTCACATTTGTTTCTAGTTTTGTTTACTAGGGATTAGGGGAACCAGGCTAGTTCCCTTTGAATACTCGAAGACAGCTGTCATGTCAGTCCTGAACCCTAATCTGTACATCACATACTTCAAGCCATATTTAGTCCAAACCAAATTTTAGTACAAAATACGATCAGAACAGACCTTTGGAGTTTGGCATATAGGTTAAATTCCGTGACAACAAATACCATTACAATGAAATATTTGCTACCTTGATTTGAAGGACCATTAAATTCAACAAAATTTCACCATCACAAAAAGTTAATTTTTGACACTCTCTTAGCTCTTTGTAATAGAATTTCTCCTGTAAGATTTAAGTGATTTTAGGGAAAAGCTATTGGAGATGGAAATCCTTTGTATTTTCCACTTTACTCCTAAAGTTCTCTTGATACCAGGTAAAGAATTATCTTGTAGGACAAAAATAATTGATCAGTCTTCTAGCCCATTCAGCCCTCTGCCTTTCTTCACAAACTGTTGATAAACCTGCCACATTTTGTCCATTGTTGTTGACTTTGCATTGTGTGCTGCATGGCTAGAAATTGGATAATGAGTATTTCATTCAACTAAGTTTATTAGGAAAATATGGTAATGCTACTATGCATATAGGCATAATTATTTTTTTTGTTGTGATACATTCAAAAGGTCACTTTCCTTCCTGTCTTCTGGTCACCTCTAGAGGTTACAATAGAGATATACAGAAACCAAAGACCAGATGGGTCCTACCCAAGTTCAGAAGAATTATTTTAAGGCCATTCTAAATTATTTGAACTGATATGAATTAAACAGAATAAACGAGCCTCCAACTACATAGAAGCCAGTTATAGTGCCATTCTTATTTTTCAAAGGGTCCCAGAGAACAAAGCCTTCAAGGTCTATATGTCTCCCAAGTTCCTTCTGAGGGGTTCATCATTTTATTTCATTCTGCCATTTGTATTACTCATGGGCTGTGTTCAACATTTTCTATCCCTTGGTGGGGCACAAAATGATTTTTCACCCACCTGGCCATAGCAGATTATAAATGGGCAAGTCTTCTATCAAGTGGTGGTCATAATGCTGCACACTTTTATCAGCGTCAACCTACATAACAACAACCACAACAAAATATGGCTTGCAAATGCAATTAACCCACTGATTAAAATGGACAGAAGACACTGCCAATTTGACAAAATGCAACTTGGTCAAGATCATTTGTCAAAAAAAGAAAAACAAGACAAAACAAAACTCAAAACAAAACTAGTGGTTTCACTGGCTGACCAGAATCAATCCCTCTCAATCATCCCCACTAATGTCGGCTTAAAGCCTACCTAGGCAGCCTGATGTAATTTACAGAGAGAGGGCTAGCCTTGGAATTCAAGTCATTCTTCTGAAACATACTAGTTAGGTAATAATAGACAATTCACTTAAATGTCTCAGTGTGCCAGACTCTTTCAGGCTTTAAGTTATAGCCATAGCCCGATGAGTGGATTGTGGGATTGTGGATTTAGAGTTGGAAGGGACTGTTGAGGTCATCTAATCTAACCCCATCATTTTGTAGGTAAGGAAAACTTGAGAGAAATTAAGTGACTTGCCCAAGGTCACATGGGCAGGAAATAGCAGAGACAGCACTTGAACTCAATCTCCTCTGACTTCAAATCCTACACTTTTCCCATTGTTCCATGGAGGGAACTTCCATATTGGGAGTTTTCCCCAACACAGATGAAATAAAAAATCCAAACCAAAAAGTCATTACAATGTATTTCATTCAAAAAGGAAAATATATATGTAAAGATAGATATGGATGTCTGTCTAAATATCTGTATAGATATAGGTATCTATCTATCTCTATACCTATCTAATCATCTCTACCTAGAGATAGGTCTATATCTCTTTATCTATAACTCTATATAGATATAAATAGAAATATCTACCTATCTAGATAGATATGTATTTCTACACACACACATATATACATACATAAACACATCTCTATACATTCCTTTTTGAATGAAACATATTGCAGTAACTTTCATGACAGGCTTTTTTTTGGGGTGGTCTATCCATGATTTCATCTGTGTTGGGGTAACTCCCATTTATATCTATGTATCTATCTACACACACACACACACACACACACACACACACACACACACACACACCCCACATTGAGCTGGTCCATTTTAGCCACTCTGTGACAAGCCCACCAATCATGAGCATTTCTCTGGAGCAATAAATGACCCACATATACAATTCTCTTAATAAAAACTAAGTTACTTGCTAATGACACATGTTAGTTTGCTTCAGAAAAATCCAATAATTTTATTCAAATATATTTCTTCTAAAATATAAATATTTTAATTAAATTTTTATAAATGCAGAGAAGGTAGTATCATTCCCCACCCAGATATGAATCAGTCCAAAACCTGGTAAGTGATGAAGAAAGAATATTTGCAATTATCATCATTTAAATTTTTCTATAAATATATAATAGGATTGTTGCACATTGATTCAGAGTAAGTCACTCATTCTTCATGTACTGAGCACCTTGGATTATGTGCTGTGGCGACTTCAACTCTTGACACTAGCATGGTTCCTAAGAAGTTATTTACAATGCATGAGTAAAATTCTGTTATAGAATAACATTCCAGTGATTTTTAGATGTGTAAGGAAATAATGCAGTGCAACTTACAAATCTGTCAAGCCTTTCCTACAGTACATAAGCTCACATTTCAATCTTCAGCTTTATAGAAATTTCAATCTTTAGCTTTATAGAAATAAAGATTTAAATTTATAAGCACACTTAAGAAAAATCAATCTTCCCTCCCCACCTTCACCTCCATAAGGCTTTGCACATCATTTCATTTCATATCCCTGGCAGCAGAGAGGTTTGAGAGCAGGTGGGCCAATTTTCAAATTTACCTCTTTAAATTCTTTGCATAGATATGTGCAAAAATCCCTGTGATTCTGAAAAATCAGAGCTCCAATCCAGAAAGCTTGTCTAAACAAGCCACAGGGAGAAGAATCTGGTTTAAATGTTGGATAGAGTTGATATAAATCTAAAACACTGAGATTTCGTTTCAGTGAAGTTAGGTTTGAACAGCTTCAATTTATCCCTGATTATTTGATGGAATAAAATCAGGCCTTTAGCTGCTTATCTCTATGATTCTAAAAGGACCCAAATTTGGCACTGGATAGAATTTGGTTTGCGGATAACCTGCAGCACATCCTATATTGTGACGAGGCCTGCTCTTCCCAGTCACCATGGCATGTAAAGAAGTATTGATTCCATACTCAACACTGACATCAACAAAACTGAACAGTGGACAAAGAATTTGTATGGCCTGGTAGGGTTTCTTCTTTCCTTTTACATGTTAAAGGTAGCTCTTTAAAAAAAGAAGAGAGAGAGAGAGAAAGAGACAGATTTGTGCCTTGCTCTCCGACCCAGAAAGTTTATAGTCAATGTCTCTGAGAGCAGACCTTGGTATTCACATTGGAGTCCCAGAATTAATCATCTTCCCCCTAGCACTAAGTAACCTATTCAGCTTCCAACTCTACCAATCAGTAGACTGATTTCTATTGAATTTTTTTTTCAGCATTCATTAATGGAGAACACTTCAGAATCATTCTCTCACTTCAGAAATATAATCCATCAAAAAAGAATATTGTAGCCCTACCATATTTTGGGTAGTGGAAGGAGGTTGGATTTGGAAGTCAGGATATAGATTCCCAATTCTGCTTCTTCCTACCTGCCTGACCTTGAGGATTTTCCCCTTTCTTGGCCTCAGTTTTGTCATGTGTAAAATGAGAGAGTTGAATTAGATGGTCTATAAAGTCCCTTCCTTAAATCTATGAATCTATGATCTTACGAAAGACCAGATTCTATGTAAAAAAAACTGTTTTCCCCCTCAAAGAAATTAAATTCATTTAGCAGTTGAAATAGTCTAATTCTAATCCTAGATCATTGCTTTTTTTGGAGGGGGGGAGGGTGATAAATGTCAGTCTTCACCTACTTAGCCCTTGCTCATTATCAATAAACAAGTTATGTGAAAATAGGTACAACAATGATTCTGAAGTGTGAGCACACAGTAATATGCTGATTTTTATTGTACAGTATATTTTAAATCATTTCAAATCACTGAACTTTTAAAAGCCCCTTTTGTCAGTATGTACAAGCTGTTTATTGCCCCCAATAAAAAGGACATTTTCCTCAACTAAAGAAACTTGTTCTGAAATTCCAGGTGATGCTTTTTTCTTAAACGTAGTTTCTTTGTGTTTGACTACACTGAAAGCGATGCCTCAGAGAGTAACCGGGACTAGCTAGACCAGACAACCAATGTCCTCTGCTCCCCCTGGGGCACTGCTGGTGGCTGGCTAGCACCTAGCATGGATGGGTGGATCATACTTCCAGTAAGCATGGTGGTTCTGCTTCTTCTTGTGGAAAGCATTACTCCTCCATTCATGCCACCAACCCAAGCCTTGTAATCTTAGCTGACAAGAAGGAATGAATGATGAACACAATAGGTTTGGGGCAGGAGTGAAGGTCCAATTGCTGAAATAAAAAGAGAGATTTTTAAGATGATGATTATTATAAAATAATTGATTTTTCACAAGAAGGGGCCCTGAAGATGATTATAACTAGATAAATTCTTTTTTAAAATTTTGGGCTTTGTTCATAATTTTTGTTTTTTGCATCATCAAAATTTGTGAATGTATTCCAATCCCACCTAATGAAATTCCTTTGTAACAAAGAATAGAAAAGATGAAAAAACAAGCAGTTCAATAAAACAAACCAAGATCTGAGGCTACTATAATAGTATTCCATGACCATAGCCCCCCACTTCTGCAGAGCAGAGAGGGAGGCGTGTTTAGATATATGATATCCACAAAGTTGTTGTAATATTTTCTCCTGAATTAGAATATAAACTTCTTGAGGGCAAGAAATGTCTTTTTGCCTTTTTTTTGTATCCAGACAATAACATCCCATTAAATTCACATGCCACATGACATTTAGTCATTCCCTAGTCAGTAGGAATCTGCTTTGTGTCTAGCTTTTTGATACTGCAAAAAGTGTTGCTAAGAATATTTTGGTGGGACTTTCTAACTTTATCAACTTCCTGGGTCTTCCAGCCACCCTGTATTATAGGTACCAGTCCTCATACCATCTCTGACTCTACTGGGATACAGCCAAGTTTCCTCAAACACAAATATTACCTTCTCTTTCCTAACTTCCAAAAAAAAAAGAGATAGTATGAGAATCAGTGATGTTGGTGACTGGTTGTTGCTATATGTTTTGGGTTTGGGAATTGTGTTTAAACAGCAATCTTATTGGAAAAAAAATATGTGATGGGAAGGTAGAAAAGTCCCTCCTTCTACCCTCCCCCCCAGCTCCTTGGCTTGGTTGCCAGCCTGGTTTCATATGACCTGATATTTCCAAGATGCAAGAGTGGGGAGGTCATAACAGACTGAGGGGCTGTATTGGCTAAGCCAGCATTGATAGATTCTGACAGACTTTGGAAATAAACAACCTAACATGTCCCTACCCTCAACATGCCTAGCGATACTCCTAGTAGTGGAACCTCTAGATCAAAGAGTATGGCAATCCTTATCTCTTGCTTGGCACAATTTCAAATTGTTTTCTAGAATGTTTGCTCTCACCATAGCTCTCCCAACAATAAATTAACGTGCCTGTTTTCCACAGCCCATCCTGACTGACTACTCCTATGTTTGATCATCTTGGTCAATTTTCTGGGTGGGAAGTAAAACCTCAGAGTTATTTTGATGTGCATTTCTCTTATTACCGGTGATTTGAAACAATCTTTCATGTTTGTTAACGACCTGCAGTTCTTCTAATAATCATTTGCTTATATCCTTTGGCCATTTATCCAGTGGGAGGTGGCACTTGGAGATATGTATGTGTTCATTTTCTATATTAGGCAAATTATCTTTAAAAGACATTTATCTTGCATTCTGCATGGCATTATGAGAAGAATATTGGAAATTTCCTCATCTGTAAAGTGAAGGCATTGGATTTGATGATCTCCTAGGTATCTTCTGGTTCTAAAACCCAGATTTCTAAGAGAAAAAGCAATAATTCTTTGACTATATTCTTTACTATGCATCTTACAAATCCATTTTCATGAAAAGGATTTACATGAATTAGAAACCTAACAAATAAAGTCCCTTCCTGAATGTCCACAGTAGCTGTATATAACACTCTAATCATTTTAGTGCTTTACTGTATTTATCACTTCATTACAGATTATATTTTACTTTCTTTCATTAGTGCCTGTGGATTCATTATCTCTCTAACTAGAGTATAAACTGTAGGACAAGGGAAGAAAGAGAGAAAGAAAGAAAGAAAGAAAGAAAGAAAGAAAGAAAGAAAGAAAGAAAGAAAGAAAGAAAGAAAGAAAGAAAGAAAGAAAGAAAGAAAGAAGAAGGAAGGAAGGAAGAAAAAAAGAGAAAGAGGAAGAGAAGGAAATAGAGAGAAAGTAGAAGAGAAGGAAAGAGAGAGAGAAAGAAATAGAAAGAAAGAAAGAAAGAAAGAAAGAAAGAAAGAAGAAAAAGAAAGAAAGAAGGAAAGAAAGAAAGAAGGAAAGAAAGAAAGAAAAAGGCAATCCAATAAAGTACTGAAACCATATTGGATGCTAGAAAAAATGGCTAGTTCAGAACCTTGCACAAGGGTTCAATGTAGATCATGTGGCAGTCAGACAGTATGGTCTCCTACAATATTCTATAGATTGGATAATCCATGTTTTATTTGGCATCATCTCTTGACTAAAAGCTCCTAAGTTTCTTATGGTATTTTTACTAGCACCATTCTTTTGAAATATGAAAAGAAAGCTACACATGGTCCCTGGAAATGCTAAGATAACCCAGAAGGACCAAGGGATGAAGGAGAATTATCCTAGGCAGAGTCAGGCACCATGTTGAAATTATTGGCTTTCATGTTATTTGAGGATTCCATGTTGATTTCAGTTGTTCTTAATTGTACATTATTAAGAACGGATTCAGGGAATCACAGAATATAAGTGTTAGGATGTTTTTTTTGAATACAAGAAAACCTGGGTTCAAATTTCATTAGATTCTTGTTAGCTGTGTGACTTCAAGCAGTTTAACTTTTTAGTGCCTCAGTTTTGTCATAAGCAAAATGAAGATGTTGGACTCGATGGCCTATGATTCCTTCAAGCTCTAACTCTAGCGGCCTATGATTCTAAAATGTGCCTCTCACTAAGTCCCCTCTTCCTCTCCCTATCACTGATCTTGGCTTTGCCCTCTGAGACCAAACAGAACAGGTCTAATCCACTTTCCAAATGACAGACTTTCAAATACTTGAAGACAGTTATGATATCACTCTGAGTCTTCCCTTCTTTAGGCTAAACAACTCCAATTCCTTGAGCCTATTTCATATGGTGTACCCAAAAAGCAATTCTTGATAAAACTCCCTACAAGTAGTCAACAAAAGAATTTTGTTTTTTAATGTCAAGTCTAAATTTGCTCTATGCAATTTCTGTTTTTCCTGGTTCTGCTTTCTGGGGCCAAGCAAAACCAGTTTAATCCCTTTTTTATGGCACAGCCATAGAAGAAAGTTATCACCTCTACCAAGTCCAGGCTGCACATTCCTAGTTATTTCAGGCAATCCTCATATGGCAAAAAGTTAGGGCCATTTTCCATAATGGTTGCCCTCCTCCAAGGGTTGATGTCCAAGTTACCAAAATCCTTCCTAAACAGTGGTAGCCAGGACCCAACTCAAGATTCCAAATGTGGCTCCACTGGGACGGAGAACAATGGGACACTGATTTGGGGTCAGGGGGTAGGAGATAGGATGTTTTGACAAATTTAGTCGCTACCTCCAACACCATTTTCACTAAACCATGACTGAAAGACACTAAGGAGGACTCTTTAGACAAAGGGGTGATCTTTAGTTGCTAAAACAAACATAAATATGATCTTAATTCGTTAATTTGCTCAAATTTCAGCCAACTTTGGCACCCATCCCAACACAAACCTTAGAGGTCATATTTAGTCAAAACTTGCACTGACTTTATAAGGAATTCTTTCATTTGCCTCAAATTTTTCTGAAGCTTCTCAGCCAAAGTGAAAGATATATGTGTGCTCCTAGATAGGTATAGTAACATAACCAGGAGGGACACTCCTCCCCCTCCCATAGGTTTCCAATAAATACCTTGCATTTATATAATGTTTTAAGGGTTGCAAAGCGCTTTACATATACTATCTCATTAGCCTCACAACAACTCTGGGATGTAGGTACTATTATTATCCCCATTTTATAAATGAGGAAACTGAGGCTGACAGAGATTAAGTGACTTGCCCAGGGTCATACAGTTAGTAAGTGTCTGAGGAAGAATTTGAACTCCAAGTCCATTGCTCTATCTGCTGTGCCCCCTAGCTGCCTCAAAGACTATAAATGATAACCAAGTGAATCAATGACTATATTGGTGCTGAGTACACTTACAATCTCTCCGTCCTTTCCTCCAAAGTCCAAATAAAGCATCCTGATCCCATCGTCTGAAGACATTTTGAGCTTTTCATAGGGAGCCTGAATGATTGTCTTGGGGAAGGCACCCTCCTGTGGCTCAGTGGTGATGGAGAATCCATGCTCATAATGTATGGTCAGACGGCACTCCTGGTTTTTGTATGTGCATGCTGGAAGACAAGGGAGGACACAAAATTATAATCCAAATGAAAGCAACACACTTTATCAGGCATTTATTGTTTTACATTTCCTCTGTCACTGGTGTCATCTGTGGATTTCATGCCCAACATTAAAAAGGCCAGAAAGCCAAAGGATATTAGAAATAGAGTACCTTGGAGAATGTCTAGGTATTCAAAAAAGCTGTGTATTTGGAATTAAAGTGCCTAAGTCTGAATTTGGGCTCTCCTACTTACTACCCAGGCGACCATGGCTGAGTCAACTTCTCTTCCCCAGCTCTCAGTCCTTCGTTTCTAAAATGAGGGGGTTGGACCAGTGCTCCAAAGTCCCTTCCAGCTCTCAATTCTAGAACGTCAGATTTGGAAAGGACCTCATTCCCCATATACCTGAAAAAAGAATCCCCACCACAGCACCTCTTTGCTTGCACAAGTCTTTGCTTGAAGGTCTCCAACAAAGAGGAAGCTACTGGTCTGCAAGGCAGCTCATCCCACTTTTGGACAATTCTAATAACCATGAGATTTTTCTTTATATCAAGCCTAAATTCTCCTCTTTGCAGCTGTCACCCAGTGCTCTTGGTTTTGTGATCTGGAGTCAAACAGAACCAGCTTAACCCTCTCTCCGTTCCATGTGAAAACCCTTCAAAATACTTGAAGACCACCATTATGTCTCCTTAGCTCCAGTTCCCTCAAATGAGCCTGGGATCTCATCCAAGCCCACATTTTACAGATGAGAAAACTGAGGCCTGGAGATGTGAAATAACTTCCCCAAAGCAATAAAACTAGTAAGTGACAGAGATGAAAGTTCAACTACTAATAATTGTGAACATTACATAGGGCCTTAGGATTCCAAAGAGTATTGAAGCCAAGTGTCCTGATTCCCGTTCCCATAATCTTTCTACTATAATACGCTGACTCAAATAGGACTGAAAGATCTTCTCTTTGGATAGAATTTTCTTTTCTTGTTTTTTTTTGAGATGGACAAAAATCACACAGAAAGAGAAGATTTAGAAGTGGCACTAGCAGATAAAGTACCGAAACTGATAAGCTTACAGATAAGGGAAATTTTTTTTTCAGTTTGCTATGGGTAGTGGAGGAACTGAATTGGAGAGAATATTATAAACATTTCCTAGCTGCATGTACTAAAATCTATCTATGTTATAGCCCTAGTGTGAAAATCTGCTCAAATGGCCTTTTGGGGCATAGCCAAACTCAGAGGTAATTTGACATTTGCAATACTATCAACCTTTCCTGACAGGTTGTCTCACAAACAAACATTAGGAAAACTTTTTTTTAATACCTTGAAAATCTGAACAGAATAATAACAATATTTTACACTGACAAGGTACTCTAAGGCTGTAAGACATTTCACTTGTATGATCTCATCTTATGGTGTAGTAGATAGAGCAATGACTTAAAGTTGGAAAAACCAGGGTTTCATACCCTTCTTAGACATTTACTAGCTGTGTGACCCTGGATGAGTCACTTAACCTCTGTCTGCCTCAGTTTCCTTATCTGCAAAATAAGAATAAAAGTAACACGTACCTCCTAGAGTTGCTGTGAGGATCAAATGGGATAATGCTGGGAAAGCAGTTTACAAACCTTAAAGTGATAGAAACATATAGGAAGCAGAAAGTTTAAGTATTATCTCCATTTCGCAGATTGGGAAACAAACTCAGAGAGGTTAAGTCACTTGCTTAGGGTCACACAGCTAGTACGTGGTGGAGCCAGTATTCTCAATACATCTGTTCCAACTCCATATTCAGGGTCCCATCTACAGTACCCTGCTGCCTCCAAGTGACCATGTCTTTTCCAATTGATGGAAACAGAATTATCTCTGAACATGGATGGGGGAAGTGGCTCAAAAATGATCTAATGATCAGTATTTTAAATGATTTATTAAAAAATAAATCAGCCATAGTGTATATTTTTCATTGATTCATTCCACCTGACCACCTCAGACACAGAAAACCAAACCAAACCAAACCATTGCAGTGAGTGGTCAGTTGCACACCCTTCTGTTGTACATGGGATGTTTCTTTGGAACAATAGAAAGCTTGGGGCAAGCTTTCACAGGGCTACCCGCTGTCCCCAAACAACCCTTCCTTCCCCCACCTCACCCTCCCTTTCTTATGATTTTGTGCTGGCAAAAGGGAAATAAAAGCTTTGACCGCATGACTCAGAAGTGGGTGATGGCCTCTCAAATGGCTCTTAGATGAGCTGGTCGATTTCTAAAAATCTAGATGCTTGGAAAAGAACATGAAGTATATGATGCGATCTTTGCTTTGCAAACCAGCCTGTTGAACCAATGCTACTGTTAGGCAGTGTGGCATAGTAGCTAACGAATCCAGCCTTGGAGTCAGAAAGAACTGGGTTCAAATCTGTCCTCAGACACTTACTAACTGTGTGATCCTGGACAAGTTGCTTAACTGCTGTCTGCCTCAGTGTTCCCAACTGTAAAATGGGGATAACAGCACCTACTTCAAACAGTTGTTGTGAAGATCTTTCTTTTCTTTTCTTTTCTTTTTTTTTTTTTGGCTAGGCAATGGGGTTAAGGGACTTGCTCAGGGTCACACAGCTAGTTAAGTGTCAAGTGTCTGAGGCTGGATTTGAACTCAGGTCCTCCTGACTCCAGGGCTGGCGCTCTATCCACTGTGCCACCTAGCTGCCCCTGTGAAGATCAAATGAGATAATATTTTTAAAGTACTAAGCACAGTTCCTGGCACATAGTAGGTGCTTAAATTCTTGTTTCCTTCCTTCCTATCTTTTCTCTTCCTTTTTTTCTTCCATCCTCCCTTCTGTCTCCTTCCTTCCTCCCTCCCTCCCTCCCTCCCTCCCTCCCTCCCTCCCTTCCTTCGTTCCTTCCTTCCTTCCTCTCCTCCCTCCTTCCTTCCTCCTTCCTTCCTTCCTTCCTTCCTTCCTTCCTTCCTTCCTTCCTTCCTTCTTCACAAGAATAAGTGTGGTATAGTATATAAGCGGGCCAGCCAGGGAGTCAGGAAGCCCTGCGTTCAAGTGTTGTCACTGACAAACACTAGTTGTGATAAGGGGTACATCACCACTCAGTGCTCCAGAGGGCTCTCCAGATTTACAAATGAGTTGCTAATAGTTATTACTGGGAAGGATTTCTCATACTAGGAGTTCCCACCAATCAAACCACAGATCCAGACCAGACCTGCCCAACTTCATAGCCTTTAAGGAAGTGACCTTGGAGGCCAATTTACACATGAGGAAACTGATGCCCTGGGAAGCGTCAATGCTGTTGTCAGAGACCAAATTTGAGTCCAAGTCCTCTCACTCCAAACTCAGTGCTCTTTCCTTGCTCACTCCATTGCTATAATGAAAAGCACTTTGTAAACCTGCAATTGCTATAAATACACCAAGTTCTCCTTATTAACTGAAAAGCAAATTACTTTAGGTCTTGATGTCCAACTGACAAGAGTTCTAAGGTAACAAAAGGATTATTCTTCCTGCCTGTGACATTCAAAATTGAGTTTGGGGAGGAGAGGAAAGATTTTTCAGAAGTTGTTGAGGGCAAACTAAATAGGGCCCCATAAGGCATCTTCATCTCCTTCTCTTTGCCCAAGCACTTCTGGTAGCTAAGAGAGTCTGGGCTTCTCTGATGAAACACAATTTCCTGATACTTAAGATTCAGGTGGCATAAGCCTTCTCCAGCTCACACTTTGAAATCTCTGGGGTGTGTGTGTGTGTGTGTGTGTGTGTACGTGCCCTGGCACAAAATAGCATCACAAATGGAAGGAGAATCCCAAAAGGTGTTCAATAGAGATGGTAAATAATGTTTTGTTGTTGTTGTTTAGGGGTTGGGGTAAGGGGGTGAGGAGTGCTAATTAGTTTCATGGTAATTACAAAAAAATCCACTAATTTTCTGTCCCAACAATGTAGTAGCCGAAATTCTGCAAAGCAGCTAATTTTACCTTTGTTTGCAAAGACTATAGAACTATGGAGGGAAGAATTTTAACTTTAAATAAGAGATTCTGGGGAGGGACTCTGCATTTTTAAGGGGTGGGTGTAGCAATTGATCTTTGGTGAGGAAACATCATCCAGATTCATCCTAACCTTCTAACCTTTGTTGGAGACCCATCTCATTCCCTTCCTTCTTCTTCTTCTTCTTCTTCTTCTTCTTCTTCTTCTTCTTCTTCTTCTTCTTCTTCTTCTTCTTCTTCTTCTTCTTCTTCTTCTTCTCTTCTTCTTCTTCTTTTTTGCAAGGCAGTTGGTGTTAAGTGACTTGCCCATGGTCACACAGCTAGTAAGTGTCAAGTGTCTGGTCTGAGACCGGATTTGGACTCAGATCCTCCTGAATCCAGGACCAGTGCTCTTCTCCACTGGGCCACCTAGCTGCCCCCCCCCTTTTGAAACAGGTTATCAGAGTGTAGGAGGTAAAGATTTGAATCCAAGTCTCCCTGACTCAATGTCCAACACTTTATCCATTATATGATACCTCTTTTATTTTTTCTACACTAGTGATTAAACCCACGTGCTACACTTCTAGGGGGCATTTATGCTTTAGCAGAAAAAAATCAAAAGAAGTACAGTCATGGTAAAGTAGTAGACAGAAAGATGGCCTCAGAGTCAGAAACACCTGAGTTTAAATCCTACCTTTGACAAATGGTGCCTGTATTACCCTGGGCAAGTAACTTAACCTCTCAGTGATCCAGGCAACTAAGATTATGTTGCAGAGGAGGTTTTGATCTGTTTTGGTAAAGGAAGTCCCCTTCTCAGGACATCAGTTCCCTAGACCAGTGGAAAACACAGATCTAGTAAAAATAATAATAATAATAATGATTTTAAAATGAGAGGTTTGGTCACCTCAATGGGCCAGAGCAGGGTGGCATTCTAGGACTCTTCTCGATTACCCTACCCAGGGGGCCGTGGTCGATGTTACTCACAGGTGGTGACTTCAGTTATGAGCTCGGCTGAGTTGTGGCAGCCCTGGACTATGCTTCTTGTCCACTGGGAAAGGTCTCTGCTGGTCTCAGCTCGGAAGAGATGGGTTTCAATTCCTTGCCTGGTACCGGTCCGAGTCGCAAAGGACAGATCCACCCCTGCCTGTAGAGATCCTTTTCCAGGACCTGAATGGACCAATCTGAATTTGGGAAAAAGAAAAAAAAATCAGAAAGAAAAATACCCACTTTTCATGTAGCATTCCAGAGCTATTCTGAGTCAAGAAAGAAAAGCTGCTCTATATTTTAGCCGTGGGGACAAATGACATGAAAGAACAAATGACATATGTCTACATAAATTATATACTTGAGAGATAAGACCAACTTCATAATCCAGCTTTTTCCTGAAGAAGAGAAACTTTAGAATCATGGGATCTTAGAGGTATCTGGGTGGTACAGTGGATAGCACTGGGCCTAGAGTCAGGAAGCCCTGAGTGCAAACTGACCTCAAACACTTTAATAGCTACGTTACTCTTGGCAAGTTACTTAACCCCAGTTTGCCTCAGTTTCCTCAACTGTAAAATGGAGATAATAATGGCATCTACCTCCCAGGGTTATTGTGAGCATCAAATGAGATAATATTTATAAAGTACTTGGCACAGGGCCTGGCGTACAGTAGGTGGTTAATAAGAGCTCTTTCCCTTCCCTTCCATCAGAATTCCAAACTGAAAATAACCTTAGAAGTCACTTAATTTAACTTTCACCAAACAGTGGAATCTCTACTACCTCTACCCCAACAGCCCCCAACAAATACTCATCAAGTCTCTTGTTGAATATTTTCATCAATGGGGAGCTCATTACCTCACAAATAAGCCCATTTCATGGTTATGCATCTCTAATTGCTAGAAACTTCTTTTTTACACAAATCTGAAATAATAATAATCATATTTCTATAATATTTTATAGTTTATGAAGTTGTATGTATCAGAAATGTTATATTTGAGACTCCCAGGGAACGTCGAGCTGGAAAGGGTCCCCCAGCAAAACAATTCACCTGATTCTCCGTCTTCAAACCTGGAAGATGAAAACACTGGGCTAGACAACCCTTTGCTCCTTCTAAGCTTTAAATCTACATTTTTCTAATCCAGGAGTTTTTATTCCAGGGTCCACAAACTCCCAAGGGGTCTATGGATAGATTGCAAGGGCGATTGGATAGAAAACAAAACAAATCAAAAGAAAACAAATCAGATCTTTATTTTCACTAACCTCTAACTAGCATTTAGCATTTCCTTCAGCTTTAAACAAACAAACAAACAAACAAACAAACAAACAAACAAACAAACGAACAAACAAAAACCCCAACATTATTCTGGTAGGGGTCTGTAGGTTTCACTAGACTGACAAAGGATCTATGAGACACAAAAAGGTGAGATGTCTTGCTCTAATCCTATAAAGCCAGATTTACCCAAGCTCCCTGGGGGTAGTGGCAGAGATTGCTGGAGGGCAGAGTTCTGTGGGCTCAGGGAAAGGCGAGGTTGGATCCCATGGGGTGACAGTTTATAGGGAAAGTCAGCCCAGGAGGCATGGGAGACTCTCAAGAATGAAATTCTGAAAACACAAACAATTCCAATGAGGCGAAGAAGGGGAAATTGACTAAAATGAGTAATGTGGGTACAGAGGGAGCTCACTCACCTGCTTAGATGTTTAAAAGACACGTACAGAAGTGGAAAGAAAGAGCAGGTAATGGAGAATGAATGCAGTCTTGCTGAACTGATAGTAATAACAATAACTATTATTATCATTAGCTAACTACTATATAGCGCTTTAAGTTTTGCAAAGTACTTCACAAATATTACCTCATTTTGTGCTCACAACAACCCTGAGATGTAGATGCTGTTATTATCCCTGTGTTACAGAAGAGGAAACAAGGTTTGTGGGAGTAAGGGTAGGGGAAGGGAGAAAGCATTTATTAAGTGCCTATTATTTATCAGGTACTTTGCTAAGTGCTTTATAAATATCTCATGTTAGCTTCACAGCAGTCCTGTAAGGTAAGTACTGTTATTAGCCCCATTTTACAGATGAGCAAACAATAGTTAAGTGACTTGCTTAGGAACACACAGCCAGTACGTGTGTGAGGCCATATTTGAACTCAGGTCTTCCTGTCTTCCTGTCTTCAAATGCTACAATGGAAGAATCTTGAAAACATGGGCCTTTGCCTGTATTTGTTTCACTTGTGCTCAGTCTTCACAATTTGCTATTCACGTAGCATGGCTGCTCAATCACACACGGCTTCTACAAATTCTCCCGGGGAGACATTGCTGAAGGGGTACCCCCTGTTCCACCTCACCCATGAAAGGAAAGCAAAGCACACCAAAACAAACCAGTCTTGTGCAGTCTAGCCTAGGACTATGACTACATTTCTAAAAGCATGTTTTCTTGGTGTGTGTTTTTTTTTAAGGTAAATTCAAATCTTTTTTTGTTGTTGTTATTTATGTTTTGCTAGGCAATGGGATTAAGTGACTTACCCAGGGTCACACAACTAGTAAGTATCAAGTGTCTGAGACTGCATTTGAACTCAGGTCCTCCTGACTCCAGGGCTGGTGCTCTATCCACTGCACCACCTAGCTGCCCCTAGTAAATTCAAATCTTAAAGGATAGACAGGACCTCATCTGTTTAGAGTTTTAAGATTTAAAGCCCTTCACAATCTGGCTCTAGCTTAACTTTCAAAACTGATTCCACATTGTTCCCCATCACACGCTCCACCTTCCAGCCAGATGAATCCATTTGCTGTCCCCCCTACAGACACTTCATTTCCAGCCTCCTTGCCTTTGCCCAGACGGTACCGTGCCTGGGATGGTGTCTCTCTTCACTTTTGTCCCCTGGCACTTCCAGGCGGAGCCACGAGGTCCTTCCTGCAAGAGGCCTTTCCTCTTGTTCTGGATATTTGTTCCCTGCGAATTCCTTTGAATATAGTTTGTGGACCTCATTACCTCTTTACGTGTTATATCCAGCCAGCAGACTATAAGCTTTTCCAGGACAGGGTTTTGTTGTTGCATCCACAGTGCCTGCTTAATTAACTTTCATTTAAATGAACTGAATTGTCTGTTTACTTCATTTTTTTTTTTGCAGGAGCAGATTTTTAACATGTTTCCTACAATCCCACAACGAATCTCAAGGGGCTTTTCTGGACTAGCCATTAATTTCATTTCAGTTATTTTAAATTTTAAGTTATTTTTGTATCCTGAAAATATGACCATCTGTCTCTTAGTTGTGGAAGGAAATGAATCACAACAGCCACAAACGCCTCCCACAAACAGGCTGCAAGTGCAATGTAATGGAAAGAGAACGGGCTTCGGAGCCAGAGAGTCTTGCCTCTGTCCCTACTACCTGTGTATCCTTGGGTGAATCACTTAACCTCTCTGGGCCTCAGTTTCCTCATCTGTAAAATGAGGAAGTTGGATTAGATGGCCTGCCAGCTCTAAATTTATGTTTCTGTTATACTTTCCCAAGGAAAGATGGCATTTATGATCCAACAAAAAGGAAGCCTATCAAATCCAGCCTCAAACACTTGACACTTACTAGCGGTGTGACCCTGGGCAAGTCACTTAACCCCATTGCCTAGCCAAAAAAAAAATAGAAAAGGAAGCCTAACTTCTAATTATTATCTGAAGCTGGGCAAAAAAAAAAAAGGCCAAGAACACCCCTAGTCATCTAGCCAGGAATTTAATGATGTTTAATCATGGATTTGTAGGTGGAAAGGCCCTCGGGTCATTTAGTCTAACTCCTTTATTTTACAGAGGAGCCCCTGAGAATTGGTGACTTGCCACACTTCACAGAATAAGTATCCAAACCAGAATCTGCACCCAAGTTCTCTGACTTTGGAGGTGAGAATCCTTCCATTCTCTGCCACTTACTGGCCACAGGAAATACAATGCTATCAAGATCTTGTATTTTGTAGGAAACTAGAAATAGAAATAAATGAGGAAAACCAAATCCCCATAAATGGTTTTAAAAATAAAATCAGACCAGGAGGTGTGGGCAGAAGAATGAGATCATAAGGAGAATATAAATGGCGCTGATTTATTCAAGGTAGTCTGAAAGATAAATGGCACATGACTGGAAAGCAATCAGTCGTAACATCAGGCCTGTGCCTGTGGCTAACCCAGCCTCTCGAGGACACCATGGTGCAAATGGACAAGTTGACAATTTGCAGATGAATTCAATTCTTGAGAATCCACATACCGAACAATAATTTAAAAAAATCCTTCACACTGACATAGCACTTTATGGGCAGGTAAGTGTAATTGGGGGCCACCAAAATCTGAAATCTTTCTGTGGGCAGCCATTGAGTCTCCTGTACACGGGGCCATTTTTCTTCCTTGGTGTTTATGGGAGTTCTTTGCTTAGATGGTCTGAAAAGGAGCAACTGGGCTGCTAAAGGGTGGCTTAATCGCAAAATGTAATTGCTGTGTTGTTGAGTTTTCAGACAAACTTCTCCCTTCTGCCAGAAGACAAATGTTTTCTATTCCCAGTTAGAAAGAAAGACAGAGAAAGACTCATGTTGACACTTTTCTACTGCCCACTTTGATTTTAGTTGGAAAACAAACCATGGATGAAGCAGAAATAACAGACAGCTAGGGAAAGGGGCCTGAATCTTATTTTTATCTTAGCCACCCACCACCTGTTTAATGCCTTATTTCTTAATCTCCAAAGTGCCTGACTCTCTCCTAGGCTTAGCGGAAACAAACTCACTATTTCAGACTATGAGGGGATCATTAAAAAAAATCATTATTATTGACACTCTCAAAAATGCAAATAAATGAGGCATAGGATAAATCTACAAATAAAACAATGAAATCAGAACTATTTAAAACATTTTGATTAGAAATATCATAGCAACATAAATTGCAAAAAATAGCAGTAACTGTTTTGTGTTCTCTTCAAAATTCATTTGTACACTTAGAGTTTTGCATTTTTCTACAATGCGGCTAGGTGGCGCAGTGGATAGAGCTCTGGCCTTGAAGTCAGAAGGACCTGAGTTCAAATCCAGTCTCAGACACATGACACTTTACTAGCTGTGTGACCCTGGGCAAGTCACTTAACCCTGTTTGCCTCAGTTTTCTCATCTATAAAATGAGCTGGAGAAGGGAATGGAAAACCACTTAGTATCTTTACGATGAAAACAAAGGGTCAGACATGACT